AGAATGATCTTTTGAATGAGTCTTCACGTCTAAACTATTTTAATTGTTTTTAAGCTTATAATGGTATCCACATGCTCCCCATCTCATTTTTTTAGTTTTGGATTAAGGTTCAAGTTTCTTTCTTTTTTATTAACACTGAATAATTCATAGAAGAGGGTACATATAGATTCGAATAGATATTTTCTATGACAAAAGTACATATATAACTTTCTTGAGTAATCTCACAATTGTTCATTTTATTTTCTTGACAGAGATACAAATGTACTTCCGTGCAAATTTCAACGTATAATTCAGTTTCTTTACTTTATCAGGAGGTGTGCAGTGAGGAAATCATTAAAGAAAAATATGAAAGAGTACCTCAAATTAACTTTGGTTCGTAAGAAAATAAAGGTAGTAAGTAAAGAATATATATAAATGTAGGTTATGGTTTTGGGCGTGCCTGCTTTTGAGGGCAAAGGCATGACTCCATTGAGTTGATAAAAGTAGTTTCTTTTCTTTTTCTTTAGTTCAACTTAAAAAAAGTCGTTGATCTATTATAGTCCACAACATCATCTCAACCGCTCACCATAACGAGAATCTCAATGTCACACAAACACATAATCGTACCTCTAAATTTCGTATATATAACCAAACTTTATTATTCCTTTATCGAGGGAATCTCGTTTCCATCATCACTATACATATGCATAATATATTTTGTAGCGTTCGTAAGCTCCTCTACCATATATATATTCTTGATAGACGACGTCATATATGCCATACATAGAAGTAAATATATATTGTGTAGTTATGTATGTATATAAGTAGAGAATATTGAAATCGCATATATGTATGACATGTAGATATCGGTACACACAACCAACTTTGCTCAGAAAAGTTGGTTGAGCAAAGAATTGGATACCGCTCGAGATAGCATCACATGTATTGGAAAAAGTTGAGAAATGTGTCATTATAATCCATACAATTCAATAATGCGTATCCACTACTTCCATCTACATAAAACTCCAAATATATGTAATAGCTAGGAAAATGGAAATTTTATTTTATTTTAGTGTGGGAGTCTAATTAAATAGGAGTTTTTGGTGTGGAAGGGAGGTTGATACATTATAATATCAATCGAGCCCATTATCAACATCTTACTTCTACCGGAAACACGCTAGGACCTTAAGTAAACTATACCACTTCTCTCCGTATAATATCATGTTCAATTATATGTTCCACGATTATTTTTGACCGTTGCACCCGATTTCATGCACCCATGTGGACCCACCTAATCTATCTGATAAAGTGATAATTGAGTAGAGCAGCAAAAAAACCATCATATGAATTTCCAAGTCTTTACACGTTACGTGGATCCAAGGCAATTTGTAGATCGAGACGGGGCCGTAATTATCGAGAACGCATAAAACAATACTAACGTATAAATTAAAAAAACATATAACAATAACATTATAATTACTCCTCATCCTTTCACCTAATCCTTATGACCCATCATCCCCACGTTAACGTTCGAATTTAGAATCATATGCCACAACTAATCTCACTTTCCATGTTAGATATGAATCATACTATTCCCTTGTCGATAGCTTCGTTTTGACTAAATTGTCATATTTAATTGATTAATTAACGTGTTAATTAGCTGCCAAGATTGATTAACATATGGTTGATGAAAATTAAAACCTTTAAGTGAAGATAAGGAATCACCTCTCACCTTCGCACCCACCCACTACACATATAAACAGAAACAAACGAAGAAATTGATAGGCCTTTCTTTTTTCTAAACACATATAATGGATACAAATTA